ATTTAGTTTTGGACAATGGTTTTGTAATGACATTAGAAAAGACATTTTATGTTCCTAGTTTTTCTAGGAACTTAGTTTCAGTATCTAGACTTGTACCCTTCAGTTATTCTTTTGAATTTAATACCAATAATATCAAGTTATTTCGTTATTCTACTTGTGTTGGTACTGGTACATTGTCTAATGGTCTTTTCCGTCTTAAATTAAAGAATGATTCAGTTTACAATTCTTTACATGTTCAAAACGGCACCAAACGGTGTAGTATTAACGACAATTCCTCAATGTTGTGGCATCGGAGATTAGGTCATATCTCCCTTGAGCGTATTAAAAGGTTGGTAAATGATGGAGTACTTTCTACTCTAGACTATACTGACTTTGAGACTTGCGTTGACTGCATTAAGGGTAAGCAGACAAACAAGTCAAAGGAAAGGTGCCAATGGAGTTCAACGTTGTTGGAAATTATTCATACTGACATATGTTGTCCTGATATGACAATACCTGGTCAGAAATATTTCATCACCTTTATTGATGACTTCTCAAGATTTTCCTATGTGTATTTACTTCATCATAAACATGAAGCATTGGATGCCTTTAAAGCTGAAGTTGAAAACCAATGTAACATGAAAATACACATAGTTAGGTCTGATAGGGGTGGTGAATACTATGGTAGATACAATGAGAATGGGCAAGCATCTGGTCTATTTGCTAAGTTTCTTCAAGAGCATGGGATTGTTGCCCAATACACCATGTCTGGTTCTCCGGACCAAAATGGTGTAGCTGAAAGAAGAAATCAGACCCTTCTGGATATGGTGCGGAGTATGCTTAGCAACTCTAAGCTTCCTAAGTCGTTGTGGGATGAAGCGCTTAAGACGGCAACGTATATATTAAACCGTGTTCTAACCAAGGTTGTCCCTAAGACACCGTTTGAGTTATTCAAAGATTGGAAACCGAGTTTGCAACATATGCGTATTTAGGGATGTCCGTCTGAGGTGAGGATATATAACCCACACGAGAAGAAACTTGACCCAAGGACGATTTGTGCTTTCTTTATTGGATATGCACAATCTTCTAAGGGTTATAGGTTCTATTGTCCATCTCATACTACTAGGATAGTGGAATCAAGGAATGCTGAATTTCTTGAAGGTGACTTGATTAGTGGGAGTGATCGGTTTAAGGACTTAGTTCCTTCCTTTGATCATATTGACTCTCACCCTTCTACGTCATCTGGTGGTACTTATCCGTAGTGCTCCTTTAGTTCTGCCTGTAGATATAGCGCCTACCGTTGAGGTTCCACAAACTGTTGAGGATAAACCTTTGGAAGAACCAGTTCAGGACTTACAGCAACCGTCTGAACTAGATTTCGAACAAATGGTTGAACCAACTCAGGATATACAGCAAGATTCTGAGCCGATGCAGACTGAACCGATTCAAGAACTGCCACCAGTTCCTGAAGAGGTAGTTGCCCCGCAGCCTGTACAAGGTGATGAGGGTCCAACTTTAAGACGGTCTACTCGGATAAGGCGATCAACAGTTCCTAGTTATTATGTTTCGTATCTACAAGAATCTGACATAGGGGCAGAAAATGATCCTGAAACATTCTCTCGAGCCACAAATTGTGCACAGTCTGACTTATGGTTAGAAGCCATGAAGGATGAAATAAATTCCATGAAGGACAATGGAGTTTGGGATCTTGTTGAGTTGCCTAATGGGGCCAAGGCCGTTGGTTGTAAATGGGTCTTTAAGGCTAAAAGAAACTCATTAGGAAACATTGAGAGATACAAGGCCCAGCTTGTTGCCAAGGGATTTACTCAAAAAGAAGGAATCGATTACAAGGAGACCTTTTCTCCTGTATCAAAGAAAGATTCACTTCGGATCATTCTGGCATTAGTTGCACATTTTAATCTTGAGTTGCAACAAATGGATGTGAAAACCGCTTTCCTAAATGGTGATCTAGAAGAGGAGGTTTATATGAAACAACCTGAAGGTTTCTCTTCTAGGGGTGGTGAGCATTTAGTATGTAAGCTTAAGAAATCCATATGCGGTTTAAAACAAGCCTCCCGTCAATGGTACATCAAGTTCGATGGGGTAATTTCTTCATTTGGTTTTGTTGAAAATCCCTCAGATAACTGTATATACCAGAAGGTGAGTGGGAGTGAAATTTGCTTCCTTGTTTTATATGTGGATGACATCTTACTTGCCACCAATGATAAGGGGATGCTTCGTGATGTGAAACAATTTCTTTCTAAGAACTTTGATATTAAGGATATGGGTGATGCCTCTTATGTTATTGGCATTAAAATTCGTAGAGATAGGTCCCGGGGTATACTGGGTTTATCTCAAGAAACCTATATAAACAAGTTTTAGAGAGATTTCATATGCAAAATTGTTCACCGAACGCTGCTCCCATAACTAAGGGGGATAAATTCAGTTTGGACCAATGTCCGGAAAATGACTTGGAGAAAGAATCCATGGAGAACATCCCTTATTGGATGTCTTGGATATATTTGAGTCTGTATAAGGCCGGACATTGCTTTTGCGGTTGGAATGCTTGGGTGTTACCAACACAATTTGGGGTAAGACTATTGGAGAGCTGTAAAGAGGGTTCTAAGGTATCTAAGATGAACCAAAGGTTACAAGCTTGGGTTTAGGCAGACGGACAATTTAGATCTTGTCGGTTATTCAGACGCGGACTTTGCTGGCTGTGTTGATTCTCAAAAATCAACATCAGGGTGCGTCTTTATTGTGGCCAGTGGGGCTATCTCATGGAGAAGTGTTAAACAGTCCTTAATAGCTACTTTTACCATGGAAGCCGATTTCGTTTCCAGTTTCGAGGCAACTTCATAGGGTGTTTGGCTAAAGAATTTTAACTAGGGGCTTAGAATTATGGATTCTATATCTAAGCCATTGAAAGTCTACTGTGACAACTCAGCTGCAGTCTTCCTAGCTAAGACCACAAAAGTGGGAGTCGAATTAAGTACATCGACATCAAGTTCTTAGCAATTAGGAAGTGTGTCAAAAATAAAGTTCTATTCTTTGAACACATTAATACTGGGTTGGTGTTAGCAGATCCCTTGACTAAATGCATGCCTTCATTTAAATTCAAGGATCTGGTTTAGAAAATGAGACTTTCATCTACTTTGTGATTTGTATATACATTCAGTTTCAATAAAATTCTTTGGCATTCAGACATTTTCTCAATTAAGTGTGTACACATTCATTTGCTTCATATTGATGAGAAAATGTACTTCAGGGACTTGGAATAAACATAGGGTTTATTTCGTTGGGTTTTGTTTCCTAATTAAGTGCTCAATGGCAGTTTGCATTTGATCATAATGGATACTACTCGTGCTAATGAGAACATATCATTATGGTTGGTGTTTTTTTGTTATTGAGTGGTAGTGCTTGCACCAAGTGGGAGAATGTAACGTTTATCCGTTACTATTATTATAACATTAGGATAAGTTATGATAATATTCAGTATTTGATATGTGGTGCAACACTAATAACCTAACAACTAGACTACCATTATGATTAGGAGTCTAGTTAGGGTTTAGGAGACCTAAAGACAATCAACCACAATGATGGCCAGTGGTTATATAAGGTCACTAGTCCTCTCACTGCTCACATTACATACCTCATACACCATCTAGAGAGAGCTGAGTAAAGTGAGAGACAAAATACTCGTTATCTCTGCAGCAGTCCGGATCGCTCAACCGTAACAGAAACTATGGCTGGAGGTTAGTCGATCCTATGATCACATATTCTATGATGCATGTGATATTTTAGTCTAACATGTGTTTCAAACAAAAATAAAAACAAAAGTATGTTGGTCAGACAACCCCAACCCCAACCAAATTGGTCTGTAAATTGTTGATTTGATAACTACAAAATCATAAGTTTGACTCTCAATGGAACTACCTAGGTTGATTTACCTCCTTAGACTGTGGTGACAAGATTGGCATGGGGTTTAATTACCCCGTGTGCGCACCTTTGTGTAGTACATGACTGTGAGTTTCATCGTTATCAAAAAAAATAAAAATAAAATGGTGGGCCGGGGGAAAACATATAAGAGATTGTGACATATTATACCTTAAACCATTGCAGCTCTCGTTGCATTTGAAGAGCTGCACCAGAAACAAGATTTAATTTGTGCAGAGGTGCTAATTTCCCAGCCAAATGCAAAATGGTATTATAATTTATGTCTAGATAATCCGGTAATAAATTCCTAAGCACACTGGTTCCACAAACAAAGTTAAAAACATTTTCGCTACGGTTCATTACTGCAACGTGAAGTATATTCTGCCGCATAGAGTTTAATAAATAAACCGACAAAGGATATACTTCCGCAATATTTAGGATGACTTGCCAAATGTCTAAACTCGTTGCATGAAAGAGTGCTTGTTCTGTAAGTGAGATCACTTGTGTATCATTTAGGGTTTTGAGTTGATCGCACAAGCATTTAAGAAGCTTCACAGCTTGGTGGTGCAGCACTATTTTGTTTACTTTGCTCTTCCCTACCATCCCTGATAGATACATAGATAGATATATCGATATAACAATAATAAACAATAATAATACATCCTTTCAAAAAAAAAAAATACAATAATACATAAACACATATATATACATACATTGTAGTAGTGAGGTGATGAGGTGGAAAATTGGTGTAGATGTTATTGACTCGGCCTTAGAAACACCTGCATGCAATATTAATTTTTACTAGTAAGTTAAAGATCAAAATGAGCAGTAATTAATAGTTGGCTGGCAGGCACTAAATTGAAGAAGAAGTATATATATAAATAAAGATAGACCATAGAAATAAAAAAAAATTACTCACAATAGTATATGAAACTTTGCCAGAAGTTTAGACTGTGTTTATTAATAATGTAACAGTCACTAACAACTATGACCTCCAAAGCTGATATATCGGCAACTAACGTCTTCTGACGGCCCAAATCAGGGTACCTTATAACCAACTGCAGAGCCAAATCTGTATATATATCATATAAATTCAATTAAATTATAATAAGCTAGCTAAGCAGAGAGGCTAATTAAGATGGATAAGATATAGTTGGCGGGGGGCGGGTATGTACTGCTATAGGCAATTTATATCATGGACCAGGGTCCGTATAATATTATGGACCCTGAATTGAAATAACGAGGTACAAAATTCATACTCATAAGGTACAGAATTTCATAACACAAAATATAAAAAATCACAACACAAGACACATAGAATATATAGCATTATGGACACAACTAGATTGAAAAGACGAGCGAGGTACATAATTCATACTCGTAAGGTATATAATTTCATAATGCAAGACATGAAAATTCATAACACAAAACACATACACATGAAACATGGTCGTTCATAGTGGAGTGAGACACTGGTCACCATATTGCATTGTGAACCCTGATACAAAAGTTTTGTACCTTCAGTTAACACATTCTGTATTTACAGTTAACCGTTTGTGTACATGTAAACAAATAACTTAATAATTGCTGACACATAATATGATAGCTACATGTACAGAAACTATCAAGTGCATGCATGTACAGAATGTACCAACTTTAAATACAGAATCTAAAAATTATTTTTAGTCCAGGTCGGTTTACAATGTAAGGTAGGCCCTGGTATAATTTCCAACCCCCTCCCCCCCACACCACCCCGGTCATGGACTCATGGTATAATTAAGGATTGACTACTATACGTACCATAGAATTTATATAGGATTAAGTTAACAAGAATGGAGACACCAGATGGGCCTGCATATGGATTAGGGTGGCCGTATTCATCATCCCTAGTCACACCAAGGAAATACACAAAGGCTTCCTTGCTTTTGGGAAGATTATTCGTAACTGCATAATGGATGGCAAAAGAACCATTGTTGTCTTGAAGATAGAGGAGATTAGAATTCCGGCCAACAAGGATATGAGCCACCTCAATGTTTCCATGGCGGGCAGCGATGTGAAGTGGGGTAAGCCCATAGACGTCTCTGGGGCCAAGTTCATGGTCCGACAATAATGATACAAGCTTTTCCATAAAGGAGGCATTACCTGCTTTAGCACCAACATGTAATGCAGTCTCTAAGTCGTTGGTAAGTGGAGATTGAATTGATGAAGCGTCATGGTTGAAGAATATTAGAGCTTGCTCCCAATTTGCTGCCAATATAGCTCTGTATAGTGGCCGGTATTTGCAGAAATCATCTGCAACATCATCTTCATCATCATATCATATCATGTATGGGGAAGCTAGCTAGAATTAATGAATCAAATTTAAACCACTCTGATCTACCTGGATTTTGAGGAAGTGCTTGGGAAGGAGCTGCCATTTAATATCTGCAAATTTATTCTATCTGATGATCTTAACTCAAATGGAAATTTATGGCCTGGCAAGCTATGCTTTATTATATATATATGGTAAGAAAGGTGATGAAGACGACAAAATTTTATTAATAAAACAAACACCCAAATTCCAAACATGAGTGCCCATTCTTCTTAATTAATGATATAAATGGTTGTTAAAACTATATTACAAATAATAATTCCTTTTAAACAATTATTACTTTAGAATTCATTACATCATACCATGCATTTATCTATTTTCTTAAATCTGATTTGTTCAACAACCCTCGAAAAATTGTACCATGGACAATGGTTTACCTTGCATTGTGAGCTCTGATCCAAATCAAAATAACTTTGAGATTTTATATCAGTAAACTATTCAGTGGACCTAGGTCCACCTTGCAGGGTGGACTCAAGTCTAAATGTTCATAATTTACATAATAAATTTTTACAATTTACATTTTAAAAATTCACAATTTGTATATTACGAACACACAGTGTTAACATAAATGTAATTGATTACCCTGTTTTGTATTCACAAGTTCCTTTCAAATACTGTTGTCACACAATATTAACATATTAAGGTTTGATAACCATGTATTGTATTCACAAATTCCATTCTATAGTTGTTATGTGTTTTGACTTAGAAACACAATTTATATTCTAGAAGTTCACAATTCTAATACTAAAAATATACAATTTATACGTTGTTTAGGACCAGGGTCCACCTGCAATGTCCACCTTGCAGGTAGACCCGGGTCCATGGTATAACAACTCTTTTGTGCTTGCAGTTAACACATTCTGTACATGCAGTGAACTGTTTTTGTACATGTAAACAAATTGAAGATGCATCACATGAAAATTACAAACAATAACATGATAACTACACACATAAATTGTTACTAGATATACAAAATATGTTATTGCAGACACATAACATGTTAATCAACATCTTATGTGTCTGCAATTAACATATTCTGTACATGCAGTTAATAATTTATGTCTGTAGTTACCATGTTATGTGTTTGTAATTATTATGTTATGTGCTTTTAATTTGTTTACAGCTACAGAAATTATTAATTGCAGTTCCAGAATATGTTAACTATATATACCTACTTTTTGGATTAGAGTTCACAATGCAATATGAACACGAATCCATAGTATGACAATTGACAACCATCTTTGCTAGCTACCCACTTTCTTATTACATGGCAACCAAATTAGTCAAACTTTGTAAAATAATAACAATAATAATAATAATAATAATAATAATAATAATAATAATAAAGATTTTAATTTGAGTTACTAAGAGTGTGTTTGGTTGACAGGTTTAGCTCTAAGGAATAAGTATTAAAGTGATTCGTATTATTTGGTTGATAGATTTTTAGAACAGTACTATGGGTTTCAAATACCCCCTTAATTGAAAAACTCATACCTAATAAAATAAGGGTATCATCCCCTTTCATTCTCTTATTCCTTCTCATCCCCTTTGATTAGTGCTTTTAGATTTTTGTTTTTATTTTTTTGTTCATATTGATGTTTGGGATGTCTTTATATTAGAATCAATTATCTTGATTTTGTGTTCTTATATTTTTAAAATCTTTATTCTCATTATAAGATCATACATAACCAAACAACATTACTAATAATCATTCACAATCCAACTTACTACCAGTACCAAACATGCAAAATACTTTCACTAAAACTCATTACCATTTACCAACTATTTGATACTCATTTCAATTCTGATTCTCATTTGCGAACCAAACACACCTAAGTTTGACTCCATGGTATAAGGATTGTTTCAACAGCTGGTCAGCTGGCAGCTAGCTACAACTTTCCTACTATTATATGGTATGAACTATGAAGGGTGATGAAGACGACAAAATTTTATTAATAAAACGAACACCCAAATTTCAAACATGAGGGCCCATTCTTCTTAATTAATGATATAAATGGTTGTTAAAACTATATTATTATATTACAAATAATAATTCCATTGAAACAAATACTTTCGAATTCATTACATCATAATACCATGCATTTATTTATTTTCTCAAATATTAGCTGTTCAACAACCATCTTTGCTACCTAACCACTTAATTATTACAGGGATAGCCATGCTAATTACAGGAATTTTATTTGCACAACCCTAGTTGATATTTACACAACCATTTGATAGGTTTGCTAGCTTTATAGATAGTATAAATGGAACAATTTACTATTTGTACCATCTTCATTAAAATTAATCAAACATTATGTTTTTATTTAAAAATATTTATTATTTATTATTTATTTTTATTTCAAATTGTGATAGTATAATAATTTTGTCTATAATATTTTTAAATTATTTTGTGTAGTATCTAACGTTTAATAAATTTTAATAATAAAATTAATTTTATTTTTTGCCATTCTAATATTCTTTATAACTTAAATTTTTTGTATGCATTATTTTACCTTATTATAAAAATATAACAAATTAATTTTCAATCGCTAAAAAATGTAAAAACACATTAACATCACAATAAAATATAAAATTTAAATTTCATTCCATTTCAATCCAATATAACATTCTCATGAGTATAATTAGAGCGTACATGCTCATTGTAACTATTGATCCAATTCACATATGGAGTAATCCATGCATCTGCACAACCATAATAGTCATTGGGTACCCTCCTGTCAATGTTATCTTAACATAATGATTATTATTAATGTAACTAAGGTCAATTGCTACATGCTCATACCAAGGTGGTCTGCTAGATCGGAGCAATAAATATGTCGTCTTTTTTTAAAATGTTTTAATTTTTAAATTTAATTATTTAATTTAAATTTATTAAAATAATATTTATAATTTCAATACTTTTTTTTTTTTTGAAAACTCTAATTCCAGTACCTAATTTATTTTGTGCAATTAAATTACATTTGACCAGGTTGGTATAAATAGTCATATTTACACCCTAATTGCTATTTACACCACCTATGAAATTGTTGAAAATTTTCCCCTTTTTAGAATTCTAAAGTTATTTACACAAGGGTCGTACAAATAGCAACACCCTAGCTAAATCAGTCAAGCTTGGGTAAAAACAAAATTTTTAAGTTGAGTTACCAAGTTTGACCCTATGGAACTATTTTATTGTTTATTGACTTTTTTCTTTGTCCCTCACCGGTTTGCACTAGTATATATACAATTTCTAGAGTTTGCCTTTCATTACAAAGTCTAGAGTTTGTCTATCTTCAACAAATTAATTATGAGTGGCATGCAAGTCAATATGGGAGCTGGGGAAAGCCGCGCGGATCGAAAATGCCCCGTCCGTATGTAGATGACACCAAAGCTACAAGCAGAGGGAATTGAAGAAGCACAAATGAAGTGACTGGCAAACATGCAAATGCAGCTACTATAATAAGAACTCCCCTTCTGTTATGCCCAAATACGAGATACACTGTGGCGGAGAAGGCAATCATCATAAATATTATGGACAAAAACAAGGTGAAGAGGCCTATGATTAATCTGGTGGGAAGAGCATATAGGAAGTCTTCTTCTGCATAGCGCGAAGTTAGGATGGACAAGAAGACGAGCAAGGAAGTGGCGGATGTGAAGAGAGATGCAGCATTTGAGATTGCAAATACTGTGAAAGCATTGTGGTTGGAGAAGATTGGGAGGCCATTTTCACCACTGTTGCCACCAGGAACTGTAATGGCTGCTGCAAAGATGACAGTAACAATGAGGGCTGCTGCAATTGTGCATGAAGTTGCTGTCTCTTTCATCCATTTCTCCCCTGCCTGTTTTAACTCCTTATGCTCCTCCGTAAAGACCATACTCGGAGTTTTTCCATATTTATTCCGAAATGAAAAGAAACGTGATGGTGTGATTTTTTTCACTTCCTGCAGATCAGATGAAATGAATCATATATATACCACTACAAGAAAAATGCACATAGACAACAGTTAATAACCGTTGTCGTAGGGGTATAATTTCTGTTAAGTTGGTTAAACCTTAATTGCTATATTTGAGGTCAGAGGTTTGATTCTTGTTGTTAAAATCCTTGTTTATATTTTATACAATTCTTGTTGTTAAAATCCTTGTTTATATTTTATACAACTGTTGTCTTTTATAGAATAATGATGATGCGCAAAGACAACGGTTGTTAAAAAAACGTTGTCTTTGTAGTGTTGTGTATTCAAATACGCTTAAAGACAACATACCAAAGACAACGGTTAAATAAAACCGTTGTCTTAAACAAATAAAGAACGCGCAATGACAACGGTTATATAAAACCGTTGTCGTTGTAGTGTTGTGTATTCAAGTGCTATTAAAGACAACACATAAATGACAACGGTTAAATAAAACCGTTGTCTTTTATAAAATAATAATGCACAAAGACAACGGTTTTAAAAAACCGTTGTCTTTGTAGTGTTGTGTATTCTAGTGCGCTTAAAGACAACACATCAACGACAACGGTTAAATAAAACCGTTGTCTTTTTATAAAAAAGAGCGCACAAAGACAACGGTTTTAAACAACCGTTGTCTTTCTAGTGTTGTGTATTCTAGTGCGCTTAAAGACAACACACCAACGACAACGGTTAAAAAAACCGTTGTCTTTAAAAAAAAAAAAAACGCACATAGACAACGGTTTTAAAAAACCGTTGTCGTTGTGGTGTTGTCTTATCACAAAATGCACAAAGACAACACACTTATAACAACGGTTAAGTAAAAACTGTTGTCTTTGACAAAAGTGTTGCATAAAAGACAACGGTTTTGGACCAAACTGTTGTCTTTGATACAAAAGACAACACTTTTCTTAAAAACTGTTGTCTTTCTAGTGTTGTCTATGTGCATTTTTCTTGTAGTGTACATATATATGTGTGTGTTAGTTTCAAAAAAAATAAAAATAAAAGTATGTTGGTCAGACAATCCCAGTTCCAACACCAACCAAATTGGTCTATAATTGTTGAATTGATAACTACAAGATAACAAGTTTGACTCTCAATAGAACTGTCTAGACTGATTTA